TCATGGATTCAGTTGCACGTTCTGGGTGGGTAGGTGATATTTGAGGACAACTTCTGAAATATATGACATCTCGTACTAATAGATCAGCTTTTCGTTTCAACCAGCGAGAAATACTGACTCTACTATCACTTCTCTGTCCATCTAACATTATAACGCACGGATGGCAACTCTAACATGCGGCATCGGAACTACGGTTATTCGGCTCGAGGGCTACCCCTACTGATATCAATCCCAACAGTGACTGCTTATATAAGCCTGCGAACGAAAATCTTCAACGTTTCTTGTAACTTGTTCCCAGACATTTTCATTTATCTATCAATCATATTTTTTTTTCATTTGGTTAAGTGGGCGGCCGCATTGAAGACTCCACTTCGCAGAGTTTATCACTCGTCCTAAAAGCACGACAAAATTGAGAGAATAGATTTCGTTTGAATAATCCTTTAATTTCTTTACTGTTATATAGCAATAAAACTAGCCATATGTTTGATTTTAAAAGTATTGGGTTGTCAGATAAATTCATTCATTTCTTTTCAAACGTTATGTGAATTAACACAAATTATTTTATCGTAGTGTTTCATGTTTTTGTTGCTCTGTTCTTTCTTTATAATTTTTGTTTGTCATTTCGTATTATTGACAGATTTGTTGAAATCGTTGATGAATTATAGGATTAAATGGAAAAAAAAACGAACGAATTTATCTGACAACTTAATACAAATAAGCACAACCTATTAAGGAGAAAATACCTAGAAGGTATCTTAATAAATAGTCAATATAAAATAGTCAGACTAACTTTATCATATCATCAGTATTTGTAAAACCTACACTTAAAGAATGTAAGATCCAAATATTTGCTGATAACGTAACCCAGTAGTAAACATTAATTTCCAACATTCCTCATACAATTAAAATACACTAACATACACAATTTTTATACACACTTAAATTACGCTAACATTTCAATAATTAAACATAAATACGTCATGAGGTAATCACGTAATGTCCATGCAACAAAATTAACGCATGCATACATGTTAAGGCCATAAAATGAACATGTGGTGTTTATAAACCAATGAAAACAAAACAACGTAGAATTTAAAAATCAAAACAACTATACATCAATTTATCAGGAAGCGAAAAAAAAAAGGCTGTCTCTTGAAGCGACAAAGATATGGTCCTACAGAAGAATGGAGTGAATACAAGGCTGAGAATGCTATGGATGAAGCAAGTTAGCAGCAAGGAAATTGTTTTGGAAGAAAATGTAAACAAAAAGAACACTTAGAATCGGTTGGAATTTCTAGGGTAATAATGAGGAAAGAAAGCTTGGTATATTTGCCACTCGTAATTGAAACCAAGAAGAGCAGAGAGTAACCTACATAACGGGCTTGTGTAAATGGATGGCAACAATGTGAGTAGCAGGAATAATTAAAAAAAAAAACAAACATCGCTACGAACTATATAGAATAGGAAGTTGTAGAAAGCCATGATCACCAACGTCCTGAACGTAAACGACACATAAAAGAAAAAGAAACGTCAATGAAAGAATAAAAAAACAATATTTCACCGCTACTGTCATAGTAAACATGCAATCTTTCATGAGATTTCAAGATAGCATATCGATATACTTCCGGGCCTATGGAAATTGTCTCTTCTTTAATTGTAAAGTGATTTGGGTTTTCTGTTTTAAACGGTATTCTTTTGCTCTGGACATATTTTATTATCAGAGCCATTGCTGCTCAAATCAGTGGTCACGATCCGAAGTAACAAATTTGTTTTTTTTTTCTGCTATCTAAAATCCCCTCTAACGACGCGTGAGTAATTTGAAGGTTAACACGCCACCACCCACCCCTCCCCGAAACATTGTTGTTTGTAAAGCCCTGCTTGCTTACTGTAGAAAAAAAGAAGTGGTCCAACAGATTCAATAGCTTTTAGTCGTAATATTTCCATTAACATGCAGTTACTTTATTCATACCCTGTATAGACGATTAGCCGAAAGCGCTCGAATCTAAAGATCATTTGGACAGTTTTTGTACACTATATCGGGAAAAGGAAATACTTGTACGAATATAAGAAAAATTTAATAAATGGATTAAACGCAGTGCCTTATCAGTCATCTTCAATGAAACGCACGCACGCACACACACACACACACACACATATATATAAGCAAATATATGTATATAGATCCGACATTATGAAGAAAAATATACGGAAAAAACAAACAAAAATCCTAATATGCAATTATGCTGTTTTAATGTTAATATAATGTCAACGTCGGACGTTTCGGACCCATTTATCGAGATATACATTTGCGAATTTTCTTGAAATGGTTCGATATTGCTGAAATGCTGATACTCATTATCTGAGACATTTCTCTGACACTTTGACATGGGATTTGTTCGACTAGCGTTTTCAGATGTTGATTGTCTATGACAGAGGTACTTCCGCTAGCTCCTTGATCTTTTAGACTCGAATCCCCAGTAGGGAACTTCATAAAACCACCACAAATAGATTAATCACACCATACTTTGTTAATGTTGGCAGTAGTTTGAGAAGCATGATGAACAAGCTTGAACTCATGAAAAAAAGTAAATGCGACTCTTTCTTTTTCACATTCAAGTTATAAAGGGTGTTTCATTAAGACGGATTATATATAAAGGTATTTCATTAAGACAGTTCAAAATAAGCAGTAAATAAATCAGTGTTATTGGTGAAAATTTATTTATTTCTCTATTGGATCATATTATTTAAGTTATGGCAATTATATGTGAAATATAATATCACTCAAATATCCACCAAATCTGAAAGAAAAAAAATCATTAGACGCTTAAACTTAATTCACATTTAAAATCGGTCCAAGCTATTAAAACACCTTTTATATATAGTTTTAAGTCAAATTCTGAAAATGATTGATATAAAATTAACAAAGAGAATAAGTAATAGAATAACTTATAACAATATATGAGTAATATATTTTTGCATAACTCTTATAATAATATATTATTATAAGAGTACCTCTGTCATAGACAATCAACATCTGAAAACGCTAGTCGAACAAATCCCATGTCAAAGTGTCAGAGAAATGTCTCAGATAATGAGTATCAGCATTTCAGCAATATCGAACCATTTCAAGAAAATTCGCAAATGTATATCTCGATAAATGGGTTCCATATGAAGAGTTCGAAAATTTGAAATGTATTCAATGCCGCATATATGAATTTTGAATGATCTATTTCTTGATTGAGTAGTTATTGTGATAAGAAATGGATCTTTTATGACAAATCATATATATATATATATATAAAGTAGAACATAAATAAAATATTTGTTCTAAAATAGGACATTATTTTCCGAACAACCTAATCAATCATGAATTGTCTATTTTCATCAGTAATTATCAATTTTCACATCATTGAACTTTATAGAGTCATACCAAGACTTTCCGATCTTTCTGAAGAAAAAAATAATCAATCAGCATATAAAAATGCTGTTTAGTGTTCTGACTGTCACAAATTACGAACTATAAAAGACATATTTAAACAAAACTCTCGAATTTAATTGTAAACACCCTCATACTTGAAATCTGATTCCAACAAACGCCCTAAAGTATGTTATTAAAACCACAAGAATTTTTCTTTTTTTCGTAACATTATTCCTAACAGAAAATCCAACCATAGAGCAATGGCTGAAATCTCATCTTGTAGTTATATGGCTGGTGTCATGAGTTCGATTCTTCATTTCTAAACTAAGCTTAGTCATTCTTCTTTTATGTTCCGTCTCCCTTCAAGATGTGAGCAATCATAGATCCCCGCAGCTTTCAGTGCTTTGTAGCTTTTAATAACTTTTGGCGTTTTCTAATCCATGTTCTGCTTAACTTATACACAAGCTCGTTAGATAGTTTATTCGCTGCTTTCGACTGTCTCTCTTGCCTTTAATATTCCCTGTAAGTGTCCGATTTTCCAAACCCTCATTATATGCTCTAATGATTTAAATTTTCATTTCTGAATCCAAGTATAAATGTCCTTTTTGTCTCTAAAACTTCCTCGTTACTCACAAGTTCAGTCCATGGTTCGATGCTATTGTGGTTTCGTGTTTTTTTGACTAGGTTTATTAAATATAATACATATTATTAATATACAATATATATTATATTAAATACAGCCATCGTGTTAAAAAAAAGGTACATTTCCTCGACCATTTTGATAGTGTAGTCAGTTCGATCTTTACAACGTACTCTATTAGTCAGTTATGTGCCATGCGTGATACACACTTAAGCGATCATGTATCTTTCGATACATGACTGACGAGTAGGTTGCCATTTCTTTCTGCGGTAGACCAATTGCATTCCAAGGCTATAGAACCCGGCCTGTCCTGCTATTTGCCCATAGTTGCGGGGAGGAAAAAGAGAATTCATACCTTTCCCAATGGTATGAGCCCGAAAGTGAATGTAATGGATTCAACTGGAATTCGAACTCGGCTCTCCATACTCTATTACTATGGCCATTAAGTCAAATTCATATTTATCTATATTTTTCAGCGGCGCCAATAGTTTGGTTTCAAGCCTGATAAAATCTCGTATTCCGTTTGGTGATTTTCAATACGAATTTGTTTCCGCAATATCCTTAAAATAGTTTTTTTTTAAATATCATAACCTTTCAGGATGTAGGCGATCATGGTTCTCCCCATACTTTTTCTTTATTATCTTTGAATTGCGATAACATCTCAGGAAAGATTTATTAATATTTTTATAGTTATCAACCTTTTACTGGTTATTTAAAGCCAGAAATGATTTCTAGATTGCAAGGCGATTTTGCGGGTAGTAATGACTTGCTGATACAAGTTTGACTAATTAATCCATAGCTGGGGAGAGAAGTGGTGGATTCATAAGTTTCCTAAAAGTAGTTGAGCGTCAGTGAATATAACGAACGCGAGTGGAATTGAACCTCGGCTCTCCGATTTCCAATTTCAAGCTTTTATCAATTAAACCAAACACACGCCTAAGTTTACAACACCTGGTATTCCCAAGCGGGCACCCATCTAGGTAATGACCAGGCTCGACGTTGCTTAACTTTCGGTGATCGTAGCAGAGCCGGTGTTTTTTTTAACGTGATATGGTTCATAGGAAAGAAAAGAAGTGATTTCCTATTGCCTTCTCCACGGGTTGGAATTCAGAGCTTTCATTCTCTTAGACTGGTTACCATCTTTTTAGACCACCCCAACCTCCTGGCTTGTGGGGTGCGGAGGAGATATTAATTCATGCACTTCCCAATGATATGAGTGCGAAAGTGCAACCAACATACGAGGCTAGGAATGTGAATGTGGTTTGCTGATTAAATCTTCCGCGCCTACAAACGCGACACTAGCTTTTGTATTCTCCCTGATCGACTTCCCAGTTAATTTTGTGATCCGCGTAACTCGAATGGGAAATGCGTATATGTGGCACTGGGTAACGATCAGGGACGGTGGATGCATTTAATTTACGGAATTTACACAAGGTCGAAATCCCCTATTGTCCGGTGCTGGAACGAAGTGTCGGGGCGATGCATAATGGCTTTAAATCGGCGGATTATCCCTTCGCGTAGCATTTTTGGCGAATTTGTATTTGGGTAGATGTAGTTTTTATCCGGTGTCTTGTTTGATGTTTGATGTTTTAACTGTTTTTAAAAGCTTTCGTAATATCCTTATATTTGTTCAAAATTTCAGGGAATTCTGTGCTGTGGCAAGTTGTTACCACTAATACCGGTAGATGTGTATTCTGTACGAATTCCTGTAATATGGATATTAGTTTCGGTGTCCGAAATTATTCTGTTTCATATTCACCGACAAGTTGAATTGAGCCCAAAAAATTTGTCCCAAGAATAGGTGTCTGCACGTCGACTTGGATGAATGCCCACGTAAAATTTCAGCGCATACAAGTATTTAATATCAAATATTTGGGGCCATATTATCACTACCCGCCTTTTAAATTTTTGACTCGACTTTCTTTTAATTTATTTCTCTTGATTTTTGTCACAACTCTCAGATCATTGTTATTAATAAAAATTTTTGCTTAATTTTTCTTACGTTTTATTTCTCTTGCGTTTTGTTAAAACTCCATTATTAAGTTTTGACTCGTCTTTTTTTCATCTTATAAAAACTTATTTAAAAAAAATTAACAATAATTACAGCGGCCTGAGACTTGTAATAAAAAGCAAAAGAACCTTTTTTTTTTGTTTCAACTCCCATGCGTCAAATGCGTATATGTGGCACTGGGTAACGATCAGGGACGGTGGATGCATTTAATTTACGGAACTTTACACAAGGTCGAAATCCCTTATTGTCCGGTGCTGGAACGAAGTGTCGGGGCGATGCATAATGGCTTTAGATCGGCGGATTGTCCCTTCCTGTAGCACTTTTGGTGAATTTGTATTTGGTTAGATGTAGTCCAGTAGTTTTTATCAGGTCACTCTTTTTATTATTAATTTTTAACTATTATTTCTTTCATTTCTTATTTCACTTTTTTTCAGATCTGGTTGAGATTATTATTCATATTTGATTAGTGTCCACTCCATCTTTATTCTCTTGCAATTTATAACGGTTGGCTGATCGTTAATCGTTATCTATGAGACAATAAAAATGAATAGTCGGCAATTAAGTGCAGGGAGAATTAAAGTTTCTATCTTTAATAGATCAGTTCTGGACAGTTAAAAATAGAAACAAGTTTATATTTCAGCTTTCTGGTAACAATTCGTATTTAATTACTGACTGTCCGCTCAGTTTCGAAAGGCAAGAAACAGAAGACGTCAACATCGACGCACAGATAAGACGGCTTCTCGACAGATTCGTATCAGGGGCTAAAATGTTAAGCAGCTGAGAGAAAGATATTCGATTATTATCGGATTACGAAACATTAAAAAGCATATGCTTTGAAGATGACACTCTTGTGAGGCTAGAGTCAGAAGGAAACTGTCGCGTGTTACAGAAAAAAAATACCAAAACAAAACCACGTGACACCTAGCAACACGCGAAAATTGAATATTACCAAGAAAAACACAATGCATGCATAATGGTTATTGTGTGTATATATATATATATATATATATATATATATATATATATATATAAAAAGTGAATATAGAAGTCAACACTTAGAGGTGACAGTCTGTTTCATGCTAGATGCAATCGTCAGGCCACAAGTGCTGTTATTTTTCTCGGCTATTTATATATACTGGTCAGTGGTGCAATGTGGGTAGTCTATTTTGACGGCTATTTTAATCGTTTATTTGTCTATTTATTTATTTATTTGGGTTAAATTATTTTGCTCGTTTTTTTTTATTTAAATTTCTTTTATTTATGGAACAGACTGTCACCTCTAAGTGTTGACTTCTATGTTCAATCTTATATTTATATTTACACACGCTCAATCTCTGATATTGAGCACTTTATTCCATAAATATACCACATCTTAAGACTATATTTCTTCACATATATATATATATATATATATATATTTGTACGTATATGTTATGTGAGTATATATATTATATAAGTTTGTATACATGTATGCATATATGTATGTTTATATATATGTATATAGGTGTGTATATATATATATATATATATATATATATATATATATATATATATATATATATATATGTTCATTTGTGGATACGTGAATTATATATGGTTTTTATGTGTATATATATATATTTTATGTATTTGTATGTATATGCATGTGAGTATATATATTATATAATTTTGTATACATGTATGTATATATGTATGTTTATATGTATGTATGTTGGTGTAGATATGTATATATATGTTCATATACGTATACATGAATTATATATGGTTTTATATGTGTAATAAATGTCTTTTGACATTGTAAGTTTCTACACGACATTTTTTATTATAAGAAATTATAATAAAAACGTTGAAATCCCTACACAAAAGCTTTCATTTTTCAATACTATGATTGTATTTCTTCAGTTGATGATATGTAATTGGTGATAAAATAATAAATATGTATTTTTCGCAATTCTAGGTGATGACGTCCTGTCTATGTTTTATCATGGCAGGAAAAAATAATTTACCCAGCTCCACCCTCTAAGCTTATTTTTCTATTTATCGCAGATCTGACATTTAATTGTTTAATCAAGACATACCGACAACTCTATTTTTAATTCTGACATTATGTTCCCCACCGCCTTGTACTTTCGGAAAAGAGGTAACACTCTGTTTTTTTTAAAATTTTCTTTAAAATCATTTTATCACCAGTTACATACTATAGCCTTATAAAGTACAATCATAGTATTGAAACATGAAAGCTTTTGTGTAGCGATTTCAGTATGTTTTTATTATTATCTTTTATAATATATATATATATATATATATATATATATATATATATATATATATATATATATGTGTGTGTGTGTGTGTGTGTGTGTGTGTGTGTGTGTGTGATTGCTTGGTGCATGTGCGTATGAGGTGTGAGGAATAAGGAATATGTTTCCTTGTGCATAACCGTGGAGCCAGATTAAATGCCTTTGTTCGTCCTTCAGCGTAGCCACGGAAAAGCAGTACACAATCAAAGTTCATTTTTGTAACATTAGTGTCCAATAAATTTGTTATTATTCACTAAATAACGTTCCTAAAAGGCACGCTCTAATTACCCGATATATAATACAAGACTCAAAATGTCAATATCTTTTGTCTTCGACAGACACTTCAGGCGATATTTTAAAAGCTCGCTTTTTTTAAAAAAAAATGTAAACATTCTATTGGAATAAGATCTTTAAACTTATTTGACCTTTAAAAAAATAAGAATTTAAGGTTAGTGGGATCATGGGAAAAATTCCATCAATCTTTTGTTTCAAGGGCACTGAATGAGTAAGTCTTTGCGGCTCATGCTGATATTACTGAAGTTAGGTCAAATAAAGTACAATGCCGCTAATGTTCAATGTATCAAAAGTAGTAACAATTGCTACCAACAAAAAAAAGAGAAGCCTTATCTTCTCATGTGCGATGTCCCTTCAAGGCATGGAAAATTATGATTCTCCACATCTTCCTATCCTTTGCACTTCTTAGCAATGTTTTCCATATTAACATCTCTTCTGTTCCTTTTTCTTTTACACGAGCATGTTATGTTTGTTACTCGTTGTTTCGATATGTTACAACTTAACATTCTTAGGATTTTATCAAGGATCTCTAAATATATAGCAGGAGCACCAGACCATATGTGACAGCAAAGCATGGATGAATGGTAGATTTATAAATATTCAAGCTAGATTCTGGCGATATCTCCTTTAAACTGATAACGGTATCTTGGCAAGAACAAAGGCAAGTCATTCCATTTCGATCAAATTCAACTTGTACAATTTTATGCGATCAGTTTACAGCATTTTAAGAAAGTTCTGGAACGCTTTTCTTCTGACAGCCGTGAAATTCCGCTTAACGCTCCCGGGTTTGGTGTCACTGGCTTGGATTTCCTAGAGATTCAAGGAGTCCGTTTTCTTATGACTTCCACTTAGCCATGTGTTTCCTTTCCGAAGTGTTTTAAGAGAAGAACTGATATCAGTACGTATCTTCTTCAAAAAATCATGGATTTTGTCTCGAGCTGAATTTTCCTGTCGACTTTTATGTTCTGAATATTTACTGAGGTTAGCCTTAGTTTGGCAGTATGCCACAAGTATGACGCACACAATGAAGATTGAATCCACTAGTAATGGGCCACCAGCCCTAACTTTTGCAACTGGGGCCCACTGCAACGTACACAAAGGATGTATCATCCTCATTCTTTCGTATTCTATTATTAAGGAATAAAGTCCACTAGCAATTTATTCCCCAAATCTCCTGCTTTGTGGAACAGCCTCCCGGCAGGATGTTTTTCCTATGTTACGTGTTGATAATTGTAACAAAGAAAAAAAAAATGATTTGCCACAACATAGAGCTAAATCACAAACAAATATTTAATTTACTAAAAAGACAACATAAAATATATACAAGATAAACAATTGTGGCCTACAAAACAGAAAACACAGAGTTACTGGCAAGTGTTACGAGGGAGAAGAAAAGGGAATCAAATATCTTTATCACTTTAGGGCTAGTGAAGT